CTCAAAAGATACCCCCTAATTCTCCCAGAAGAATGCGTTATTTTTTCTTGCACGTAGTGGTTTTAAAGGGTTTCTTTGAGGGGGGAGCGGGGAGGAAGGGGGAGGGGGAAAAGGAAAATGAGCTGATTCCAGGAATCCAAGCGGAAAGCGAGTTTTGAGAATGATGAGGACAACGAATGTATGTGTGCTTTACACAATTGATGTATGTGTAGATTATGATAAGAGTTGTATGAGCCCCAATAAAATGATTTTTAAAAATAAAATAAATCACAAAAAAAGAAATAAAGGGTTTCTTTTAAAAAGAGGTTCTCCTTGCGGCAGCGCTTACTCTGACTCATGGCGCCCCTATGGGACTGAATAGAACTACCCCGTAGGGTTTTCTGGGCTAGCATCTTTACGAATCCGCTCCCTGGATTCAGACTGCCAACCTTTTGATTAGCAGCCTAACGTTTAACTATTGGGCAACCCATTTGGACCCCGGATGACCAGTTATAGCACTTTCAGAGGGGTGTTCTTCCCCACAAAGGAGCACCAGGCTATACGGTGGTCAGGACAGGGGCAGCTGCAGGGGTGGGGGCGGGGGTCTGTCAGGAGCAGCTGCAAAGAGCACGGATGGGAAGGGCAGCCGCACTGGGGCTGGGGAGGATTAGTATAATAATGCGGGTACAATGGTCAGCAGAGTTCTCGGTGTTTATTATTGATTACTTCCCACCAGGAGGCTGCTGCCTTTACTGAGTGGCCTTTCACAGTGCTCTCACTCCTTTCAGCCCCTGTGAATCTCTCCCAAGAAAATAATCACTGGGTGTAAAGGTTTCACCCCGGAGTTGGTCACTGCGTGGAAACTCTTGGCAAACAACCTTGCTCCATGCCATGATGGGCAGGGATTAGATGAGTTACAGTACACCCAACAGTAGAGAATTATGTGGGCATTGCAAACAGGCAAGGAGGTGTAGGTTACCTGAGATGAAAAGATGGTGATAATGGATTGTCTTGTGAAAATGGCAATTACAAAGTGGGTGTCTAGTGAGATGGCCCGTTTGTAATACGTGGGTGTGTATAGGTACAGGAAAGGAAGATTGTCCAATGGTGTGAAGGGAACTGAAAACTGTTAGATCAGCAGTTCTCAACCTGTGGGTCGCGACTCCTTTGGGGGTGGAACGACCCTTTCACAGGGGTCGCCGGATTCATGACAGTAGCAGAATTATAGTTATGAAGTAGCAATGAAAATAATTTTATGGTTGGGGGGGTCACTACAACATGAGGAACTGTATGAAAGGGTTGCGGCCTTAGGAAGGTTGAGAACCACTGTGGTAGAGGAACAAAGCAGATAAACGAACTCCACACTGCTTCCCAGAGATGTCCATCCCACTAAGTCCAAACTTTCTCATGGTCCCAGTTTTCAGAAGGGAGAATAGGCCGCTCCAGACACTGAGCACCCCAGCAGAGAAAAGGTTGAAGGACGAGTCTTGTCAGGAGCTGGGAGGTGGGGTTCAAAGCATTGGATGGAGATTGGGTGATCCGACCTTAAATCCCTCAATTTGAGGCCCAGTTTGGGTCGTACAGTGTCCATCCTTGAGACCCAGACTGGACAAAGCCCAGCTGTGGTTGCTGAATGAATGTGCACAGGAACGATTTGCCTGCTTTTCATGCAAACGGGAAGCAGTAACGGAGCGCGGTGTCATTATTATGGAATTAATGCTTGCTCCCGGCAGGTGGGGGTGCACAGCTGACAGAGGCACATTTACATATGATCTGCGAGCCTTTGAAGTGGGAGGGAGTGCACCCTGTATGCATGCCTACCCTGGGAATGAAAGCCCGAGGCTCCTTCTCCAGCCCTGAGTGGGACATCAAAGGCACCTATTCGGGAGGAGAAAACATTTCAGAGCCTTGAAGGGGATCCTTGTCCATCTCTGCTTTCTTATCTTTAAAAATTGTGAGAGAGAGATCGCACAATATATGTAAATATATTTAAAATAAATAGACATTTTATTTCTATCAAATATATTTATATTAAATATAAGTATTTGCATTCACACATATATGTACAGTACATATAAAACAAAATGATTGCCATGCCAGCGTGTTTTCTGTGTACAATTCAGTGGCACTAAGGACACTCCCTAGGTTGTACAACCGTCACCACAAACTGTCACCACAATCCGTCTCCTTAACAAAATCTCGGGGCGTCCATTTCCTCTGATAAATTGCCACAAAGCCCATAGCTCAGCGAACGCGCGTTAGCTCCTTTACTTCTTTTTGGTCCCCAGAGGGCCAACTAACACTGGGCAATACCCCTGAGTCCCATAGGATGGCTGAAAAAGGGGGAACCAAATCCTCCTGTCCTGCAAGTGGTGAGCTCCCTGCCCTCCATCAGGGTAATTAGAGAGCAGCAGTGATGGGTGTGGTTTTCCACCTGCGCAGCTCACTCCCCTAATGCACCCTTCAGAGTGTTGCTCGCAGCTGCTGGAGCGAGTGTGAGGCTCTCCACCTGCCTTTACCCCATGCAGAGAAAGGAGTGGCCGGCTGTGGGCAGGGTAAGCCTCATTGGGGCTGGGAGGGTGAATGTAATAATGTGGGTACAACGGTCAGCATAGCTCTCAGGGTTTGTTATTGATTACTTCCCACCAGGAGGCTGCTGCCTTTACCTGAAGAGGCCTTTCACAGTGCTCACATTCCTTTCACCCCCAAGTACCCACCTCTGGATCGCTCCTAAGAAAATCAATAATCACTAGGAGTAAAGATTTCATCCCGAGTTGGCCACTGTCTGGAAACTCTTTGCACAGAATCCAGATGCCTACTGATGGGTAATGATTAGACACATTAGGATACATTCAACAATAGAGCATTACGTGGGCATTGAAAAAAAGGAAGGAGGCATAGGTTAACTGAACTGAAAAGATACAGAGTGGGGGTCCCTGGATTGGATTCCCAAGCTTTATAGGCAGGGATGCATAGGCCAGTGATTCTCAACCTTCCTAATGCCCATGACCCTTTAATACAGTTCCTCATGTTGTGGTGACCGCC